GCCTGTGATCATTTTTCTGCATTGATGTTTATGTTTGAATAACAAAGCAGCGAACGGGGCCTTTAGCACAAATAAGACTTTGTTCAGCTATTAATTACAACACAGCTTTTTTTTTTAGCACATTTTCATTCTTACCCTTTTTAAAGACAAACGTCTAGGTTTTTAGGATCTTTAAATATATTTCCATTGTAATTCATGACTTGAACATAAGTCCTAAATATCTAAAAAGGTACCTACTACCCAGAAATATGACTACATTTGACCAAAATTTGTCAGCCTCAGTAGCATAGCTGTTGAGTAATGGATCAAAGTCAAGCCTGAGCTTGAGGGGTATTTCTCTTCCTAGTCTGTATGGACCGTTGTCTCTATTTTTTGAGAAATTACACTTTTCAAAGTGCAGCTGTAATGAAGTGCTTCTCATTAAAAGCTGCGTTTGTGACAGTCAGTCAGTCAGGCAGGAATGCATGGAGGGCAGTAAGTGAGGTACCCCTGATAGAAGCTACTCATAGCAACTTTGGAGTAAAGGCTCATTTCATGCAAGGTTAGACACATCCGTCATTGGACATGGGTCTGGCTTTTACTACCTTTCAATGAAATTACACATGGAATGTGTCCACATATTGAAGATGGACCTGGAAACGGAATGTCTACCACTGGACTCTGTGGCTGCCGTGATCACTTTCAGTGTTAAAAATCCACCGTAGGCAGCGAATCAAAGTCGAATGTTGACAAAGGTCATGGATCCAGGGAACTTGTGCTCTCTTTGATAGTGTGCAAAGTCTTTGTTTGTAATGTGTTTTTGATGCAGTCAGTAGTCACACATTAATTAAATCAAGCATGAATATCTTTGTAAATATGCCCACTAATTAAGCTTTAAGCCCCAAAAATCAGGCTCACATGAATAGTTTGCTCTGGGTTTAAAATATAAAAACACCAGGCTATTCTTCTGGTGTAAGCATCATATGTAATAATCTGCAGAGGTTACAGTCCTGTGGTGACAAGGTCGGTGCTTCCATGTCCATAATCTGAGCAGACATTTTGTAACATTTTGACCAAATACATATTTCTCATTATTGTTTTGGCTGCTCCACGGTTGTCGTGGCTGGTTCTGCATGCAGCACTGGCTTTTCTAACAGATGTACCTCTGGAAATCTAACTGGAACAAAGGCGCTATCTTTCTTTCCATTCCAGAGTGGCCACACATATCTCGCAGTAAGATCAACTTGAGACTAGCCACTCAATCATTTCAGCTCCTTAAAGTTGAGAGGAAGGTACTTTTGCTCAAAAAAGCCTAATCTGATTCTCAACCTCTTTATTACTCACCTGATTTGTTGATAATCCCAGACGGGCAAGCAAAATGGCTGCCATTACAAAACTGATGGCACAGCATGGTAATAGAATTTGCTTGCACCTTTTTAAAGGATCCATTTTATTTTTATTTTTTTTGCACTTACTGAAAATAATTGCAGTTTTGATGCTGCATTACTGAATGGAATGCTAATTCTGCTTCTTCAGTTAGCAAATTAGGAGCTTTTAAAAATGTAAAACGCAAGAAGAGTGTGTGCATTAATTTGTCTGAGGTTTTGTGTATGGATTTGGTAAGAACTGTTGATAGATAGATAGCATTCCTTCAGTTATCAGTACTTTTATGCATTAACTATAAACCAAACATATTAAAAAAAGTAGTTAAGGTGTACATTTGCCATGGGCCTGGCCCCATGTTAAAATGTTGTAGACAGAAAAAAGCAAAATGTGGTTATCACTGATTTATTCACCAAGGACTTTGAAGCAAATAGACCTCCTTTAAGCCAAAGGAATTCCTCCACAAAAAATGTTGCCTATTTCTGGAAAGCAATCCCAGTATTTCTCATTCTGAAATTAGGCTAATAGGCACCAAAGTAGTTGTATTGCATTTCTTGTCCAAAAATTGCATGCTTTGCCAGTGAAGCATTACATCGAGGTTATGTGCAAGAAAAACTAAGTGAACGAATCAGTCACTGCAGGGTAGCAAAGAAAGGTAACAGTGATGGATTTCTCTAAATGGCATTGTCTTTCCTTTGTTGCGGAAGCATGATGGATATCAACAATAAGTATGCTCTTTAGTCCTGACTGAGAGAGAGACATCTCATAAATCTTAAACTTAATTTTCTTTCAAGCACACATTTTAAAAGTTCTAAATACTGGACCAAACTTCAAAATAATTCTGTCTGAAATGGAAGAAATGTTTTCAAGTAATGACATGCTAAATACATCAACTGCGCTCTCTGCCTTGTAACACAGTGAAGACGCATTGTTTTGGGGTGTCTTTGACAAATGACAACAGCCTATCCCTCCAGTTATTAAAAATCTGGTTTCTCTCTCATATTCATCCTTACATGGCTACAGGCTTGAATACAATCCCAAGTAGTTCAATTATACCTTATTTCCCTGTACTTTTCTGGTGTCGTGTTTTGACATCTTGCTTCTTTTTTTTTTAATATAAATTCGACCTCAGGCTGTCTAAACACAACATTAGGATTAACATCTTGGCTTTGTGGCATCAAAAGAGGCTCCAATCTCACGGACTTAAAACTGAGATGTCTTCTGCGCTAAATCAGCCAGCGCTAATTTGTGTACCAACAGGTTGAGCCTTTTTAATAGCTGCCTGTCCAGACTGATTTAGAAATAATCACTCAAATATCAGCCACAAAATGATGAATCTGTGACTTCGAAGAAAGACTTGTATTTAAAAATGTGTTAAAAATGTGTGTGTGTGTGTGTGTACTTGCGCTGTAATAATTGCCATCCAAATATCTTACTGACACCACTCTTAATGACATGCTGCAGTGCCTTTGTTGCACTGTTGATCATCAGCTGCTGATTAGGTGTGACTGGCTGCAAGGCTAATATCACCGCTGAGCTGATCAATGTTTCGCAAAGGCACATAATCAACACCATGAAAAAGTATGATAATCATCGATGATTCATGAAGCCAGCGATGTTGATTGGTATCTAAAAATGACAATACAGATTGTCACAGCCCCTGACACCATATGTCCTTTTTGATACCTGAACTGACACCAAGGTCATTATGCTTTGCACCTTTTTGTTTTTTAATCATTGCTTGCACTGAATGCTACTGTTGGAAATGGATATTCATTCAAAAAGATGCATCACTTTAAGGGCACCCAGCTAGCCCCACTGAGCCAAGCGGCAAGCAAGTTTTACTGTATGCCGTCGTGTAGATTTTAGTGTTTTCTTCCATTTGTATGAAATAATTAAAAAGCAGCGCACGCTGTTATTTTTAAAAAATTTCCCACAAAGAAGCAGGCATTCAGACTGACTAAATCAGACAGGCCTTTTATTCTGCCAAATGAGGAATTAGTTTATGATTCAAGACACTACAGGGTAGAGCATGAAACACTGTAAAGCAATAACATGTCAGAGTATCTGCAGCAGTTAGCCTTACACGGCTGAACGTTAGATGAACTGCCTGCTGTTTGTCCAATCATCAGTGTACCTGCTCATTCTTTGTACGACAAAGAGTTCACACTGTGCTTTCTACCTAATTTCAGCAAAACAGATGTGGACATGATCAAATCAGACTGAAAGACCTTTGAACAAGCTTCTAAAGCGTGTTACTTTGTGCAGTCACGGTCCTGAAGATCCCAATCAGCATCAAACGGCTGCGATGTTTGTTTCTACCTGGCGGCTTTCCCTCCTTTCATTGTACCCTCTTAATATTCGAATTTTTTATGCGAGCACAAACACAGTGTCCTTGATGCTATACTGGGTAGTGATGTTGTTTGAATCTAGCTGCCCTGATTTCTTTATTTATTTTTCTTAATCCAATCACGGAACATGTTTGTTGATGTGATTTGGTTAATGCCAACAGTCTGATGCGCGGATTAGACAACTGTCTTTTCTGTACTCAAGTGATTTACCGTGTAATTAGTCATAACATTTCTAACTTTCTGTGTAACGTGATCAGATCAGATGACAGATTTCTCCCTCTGTGGCTCACTTTGAGGGAGGTCAGTCTTTCGAGGCTTTCGGCTTGGTGCTGGGATTTAGCAAAACGAGGCTACAAACTCTATTAGGAGAGATCATTTAAGCACTCCTATCAATGGCTGATGCATTGTATTGTCTAATGTACTAACATAAGTTATGTGTAAATCTGTTGTTAATGCATCACCTGCATTGCCTATTTGCGAATGATAAAATCACCTCATTAGGCTCACACTGCCATAAGTAATGCTAGATTTTAATTAAAAACAAGAGTTCAAAAACAATTTGCATGAGCTATTTACAGTATGATACATCTGCTTAAAAGAGCTGATGCAAATTCCTTTCTAATTGCAATATTTCTAGCATCACTTTTCTCGGTGTCGCTTGAAAACACTGTACTCATTGTCTCTTTGTTCCTTTATGGGAAGCAAAGAGGGCATGCATTGTAATGAATACAGCTCAGAATACATTTGTCTAAGCCTCTCAGTCTCCTGGACTTGCCCATCCAAAAATAAATCACACAAAGATGACAAAGTGTTGAGGAAACCGTGGATCAATAGCATGTTATGTCCATGACCCCCCCTCCTCTGTGGCTTTCTGATGGCTTACACATTTTTACTTTCATTTATTTTTCTTTTCTTTTTTGGGTGTGCAGGCGGGTGGGAGGGCGGGCGGGAGGGAGGGAGCTGGTCTAATGAAGTGTTAGTCTTTAAAAACAAACAAACAAACAACAACAAGAAAAAAAACAATGTGAGTTTATCTGCATGTTTGCTATGTGTCTACGCTGTGCTTTCAAGCTCAATTAATACTTCCAACTCACCCGTATAAATTCGTTGCATTGTTCTATGCCATAGAGAAAAGGACAAATTAAATACAACCTTGTGTGGTCTTTGTTTCTAGCCATGTACTGCAGTTGCTTCAAACATCCTGAAAACAGTATGTAATAAGCTTTTTGTTCTCAGAACATCATGTTTAAGCCTAGCTTTCATATGAACCTCTATTCTGTCCCATAGAATATGGAATGATCGGAGAGCATACAGTAAAAAGTCAGCGGCCAAGATCAGTTCATGACACAAAGGCCCTGCAGGAGCAAGCTGAATCTGCTAAATTTATGGCACAAACTGGTAATACAATAGTTATGTTTCTTGACTTTATTTTGTTAACTAAACTTAATTTCATCATGCATGCTCTCTCTTGTACTGCACCTTTTAAGTGGAAATGTTTTGCATTATTATTTTTCCTACTCATTCTCTATTGCTACATATGGACGAGGAAGAAAATTTCCCATTTCTCTAGGAGTATTTACTTTGAATATAGGACATAATTGGGTTTTGTGGGTCTGTTTGTTTTATTGTCACATAGTGAGTTGGCGAGTGGATTACTCATACAGTATATTCGGGGAACATTAATTAAACAGCAGTTTAAAACTACGGCCCAGATGTAGTTAATTATTTCCTCCAAGGCGTGATAAATTAAATGTCATTCGATGAAAAAACCCACCCTTTCGGCCAAATATGAAACACATACTTGGCAAAAGTTGAACTGATAGATGTTGCCCTTAGAGATAAAATGAACCTGTGTGGTTTCAGCAAGTGTAGCGAATTCAAAACTTAAATGATCTAAATTCATTATGGCTTTTACGATCCACCAGTTTTGGCATTTTTTTTTAAAAATAAAATCAGAAAGTAGTAAAACAAGTTAGGTACAAATCCAAGCAAAATCTTTATTTTGCTTTCATTATTTTTTAAGTATCTTTTGCTTTAATGTAGCTAGACAACATTTGTTTTTAGTGGGTGGGTTTAGTTGTAGCTATTATTAAGTTTTTGGTTTTTTTATTTTAAGTTTTGGGAAATGTTTTATTTTTTTCATGTGTTGTTTCGTTTAAATTGCTGTCATTGTTTAAAAACTCCTTTCCTTTCATTGTCATTTTAATTTATGACGCACTGTACATGCATTCGCACCACTACTAACATATACTCATTAACATCTCTTCATTTTCCCCACGCTGTAGGTACGTTGTTTCCCTGTCGAGTTGCATCCGCTGTGCTTTTCTGTTTTCTCATTCTCACACAATTTACTCTCCCTGTACTGCCTCATTTAACAAATTGATCCACCTCTCAGTCTATTTTATGATCTACAAAATTAAGGGCAGGGTTAAGACCCCTATTTGGCTGAATCTATGTGTCCTTGTTACAACATGCTGTGAAACTACTTTAAATTCTGATATGATTTGATGACTTTCAATGACATAAATGTATTCAGAGCTGAAATTGAAAATATTTCGCTTTGTATTGAATTATCCCTCCAATGCATAAAGCCTCAAAGAAAATGAATTCTTCACCTGGATTTTAACATAATCGTAGAGCAATTATTCGGTGACTACACTCATGTGGGAATTTTATTGTCCACTCACTTGTCACCAAATTATTTATTCTTTTTCTTTCATTCTGGCTATCGTGGCTTTGGAAATCACCCCACTGCCTCATCATACTATGCAGCTTTATTTAGCATCTCATGGCTTTTTTGGGGTACCTTTTGTACCATTAAAATTGAAAGGCTCAATGCGGTTTCTTCCTTTTTATCCTTTAAGTTAACTCAGACATCTCCAAGTTAATGTAACAGCTATGGTCCTTTACCTCGCTAATCTGCTATACTTTCTGCTACGTATGATGATTTAATGATGATAAGTCTGCACGCGGAGTTAAGCAACTGCAAATTCTCCCTATAGATTTAAAGGCCTAGCCCATAAAGACAGACTCACATTCACATCCTGTGGCTTAAATACCACAGATTACACGTCCTTCTGGGCATCCACAATTTAAATTTAAGTGTACGGAAAACCTTCTGCTTTGAGCCACTCATGAAAATGGCTGTGATCTGTTGAATAAAATCAGCTAACTTTCTCATTTTCCTCCATCCCTGCGAGTTAACAACTTGAGCTAGATTAAAAAAGATTTTTTTTTTGAAGCCATTATCTAAAACACAGAATTTGCTCCAATGTTGTCAAGGAAACTAGATAGTTTGCTGCAGTGCAAGGAAATCCACATTTAAGACCCCTTTCTGAACTAACACCCATTAAATTCCATTTTTATTTTCTCAGATGTTGTCTTTTCTTGCATGCCACCATGAAATTTTGTTTTTGCTTATAGCGAATTTACTTTTTTAAAACATAATATTGAGTTCCACTGAAATGCATGACCTTTTTTTTTTTTTCAATGAATTGAAAGCGATAGATGTAACCCTAGTGTCTACTGTTCATTTTTTCCAACCATAGCTGTACCTTTTCTGTGATCTTTGCATGAATTTGGTGTAAAAAGGCAGATTAATATACAAATTACTCCTACACTGGAGAGCCATTTGTTAATGCTACTACTCCCAGTGATTGCAGCCACAAAAACACTTTTATGCTGCCTGCAAATGGAATCACGAGTCAAAAGAATTAAGCTGCCAATTCAGTATTCATCAAAGATCACATAAAGGTAGAATAGACTGTATGCTAAATTTCTTCTTTAGGACCTGACCTCACCCCACCCCGACGTTACTCATGTTGGCTCCTCCCTCTTTTACTCAAACCTGCCCACATTGCCCCACCCCGCCCAGTATAAGCGGTATAAGCCCCAGGACCATACTACTGCATTTAACTAGTGTCACCCTTCTCCCACACAGGTGAATCAGGTGCAGAGGAGTGGTCCCAGTGGAGCTCATGCTCTGTAACATGCGGTCAAGGGTCGCAGGTGCGAACAAGAACATGTGTCTCACCATACGGAACACACTGCAGCGGCCCTTTAAGAGAATCAAGGGTTTGCAATAACACTGCCCCTTGTCCAGGTAGTGTTAGCCGCAGATTCTTGAATATTAATGTTTTGCACCTTTGTTGTTGATATGGGAGGAAATGTGTTGTTCTGTTTTAACAAATTTCTGAATGTGTCTATATTTCCAAATGTATGCAGTAATAATATAATGAATCTAATGCTTTGTTTCTTTGATGTTATTTTGTGAATGTTGTTTTTCTTTTTTCATTATCATTTTGAGTTTTCCATTTCATATAACTGTGAATCAATTCATCAGCATTGAAATGGTTTAATGACATGTGGATCCACATGGAGCCCGGGGAGCTGTAGATACTGATATATCGTCAGCTTCATTTTCTTGAAGGTCAACTGTGCATTTTAAAATAGCTTTCTTCAAACACCCTTTAAGGCATTTCTTCCTCAATCCATGATGGCATGGCAGATGAGTCACTGGCACTCAGGTATCAGCATCAGATTCTTTGCTGGCTGGTGATTGCAGCATGAAAATGTTTGTCAGAATGAATCTGGTAGAACAGCGTGTCACAAGTAACCCCTGTCAATTTTTATTTTTTTCTCCCTCTTTTTTTACTCCCACAAATAAGTTGATTTAGCTTTCGGGTTTAGTCAAAGTATCTGATGGCGATCATAAACACAGTGCATCCGAGACCGCAAACTCCTAAGTAATTATGGCCGATCAAAAACACTGCAAGCTGCATCCTCTGACATTCTGATTAGTGATGTATTATATCCTATTTTAGATAGAGTCTGTCTAAGTGGGAAGTTGGTGGTTTTCAAAAGGGTCATTCCTTTAGTACGCGTCAACACTGAGAGACAGAAAGAGAATGAGTCATCATTATAAAAGAGCATCATTTCAGCCCTGATGTGACTCTTCAATGCCCAGTATTATTCAGTTCAGAAAGCATAAACCCTGCTGAATTATCACTGTGGTTCCAAAACTTTTTTCAAATAACAATGGAGAAAATCACCATAGAACTGTGCCTTGACACTTAGGGGAAAGTAAAGCAATTAGAAATTTACATTTTTAAAAGAGCAACAAGATAGAGATTCTAATTTGCTTTTCTAATTTTCACTTGTTTAATGAGTTTTTAGTTCAGACCGTATCAATGCACTCACTCCTGCTGTGTTGTTAAATTGCTCTGACTATAATACTTGAAAGATGACGGATTTGCTGTTCTCTTACTTATACTTGAAATCTACCACTAGGATCAAAGAAGTTGTTTTACCAGGTCATCCTTAAAATACTTACATAGCACTAACTATACTTAGTTACCGTAGCAAACTGCTACAAAGAACTCCAGCCTGGCATGGGGCCACATGAAACACAGAGTATACATCTAATATTCTGTAAGGCAGACATATCGATTAGCTTTCTTTGCTCTCTGTGCTATGCCAAGCTTAGAAGAACACCTCCAAAATACATTATGCCTAAAGACACATCACTTCCAGTCAAAAGAAACCTTACCTTATAGTTGCCATGACTGAAAACAGCAACATCGTCTGTGAACGGCGTCCTGAGCGCTGCATCTTGGGATCAAGCATGCTGTTAGAAATCCTGGGCCTACATAAGTTGTGATGCCATACACAACATGATGGAATATGCCAAAATACAGCAACACATCTGCTGTATGAAATATCCCCTGGGTTGTAAAATGCTAGTCCTTTCACAAGCCAAGCAACAAAAACCCATGGCATTTTTCTGTTGAATCTTATTCGCTTTATTCTTAGTAGCACAGTCTACAGGAATTCTGATATCTGACATTTCTTCAGTTCAGGGTTTTCTACAGCACTAACATTCAGTGCATATTTAAGGTTACTGTTAGATTCTTAAACTGTAGCACACAATAAGATATTCATCAGAATAACATTTTTCCTTACATATAAGATAAAACCAGGAGGAAAGTACATATGTCTAAAATCTGATTCCATCCTGAATAAAAGTTGGCATCCTCTGTTTTTTGTAAACACTAATATTATTTCACCATCAGACATTTCACAATGTGAGGTTTGGTAAAATCATAAAGAGCTATACCTTTGACATTAAACCCCTCTGGCTTTCTGTTACTTAAGTTCAGTTAGCCGGCAAGCTTTGCAATGTAAATCCACAGGAAGGCTCTTTGATGCCATCCCTTTGAACACGAGAAGGAAGCATAAACTGTGCTACCTATCTGCATTGCTATGAAGTGTCACCCAAGGTAACAGGTTTATCTTCTTTTTTTTCTTTTTTTGTGTTGTCAATTTTTTTTTAGGAAGGATTATATTCTAAGTAAAGCTAGCTACATCATCAGGTCGGGGTTAATAATTTAAAGTTAGGTTGTTTAATGCCGCTCATACACTCCATAGCTGTCGCTAGCTGCTAGGTTTCCTGGTTTGGTTTGCAGGATATATTCACCTATGTTTAGCATGGGCACTGAGGACAATTACAATGGAATAAAAAATGAAGTGTGTAAAAATAGAAAAATAAGTGGAGAATAAGTAAAACACAGGTCAAAAACCAACACTTTAGAATCAGTACAAATATGTCAAGATTTTACATGCATGATAATGTATAAAATCTTGTTTAGACATTTTGGTTGACAGGTCTTTTTCTATGAAAAAACCCTCTGAATTTAACTGAATTACAGTGTGACAGATGCAAATCTACTCCACTACAGAAGCATTGATTGGGTTATCTGAAGCTACTTCAAACCACTCTGTATCAAAAGAGAAGGCACTCAGAAACAAAATAATAAATACTGTATGGTGACTACAGTTGGGTAAAAGGAGCTAGCTAGCAAGTTAAAAAGGTTAAACTTCACTGGAAAGCAATGAGAAGGCCACCCAAATCCCAGCTTACCTCAAATTAATGAAAACATTCTTGGCAAATGCAGTTGCTTTGTCCATCATCTTGTAGTGGTCCAGGAATTTCACCTCTAGCAGACCAATAGCATTGCTCATGGACATCCCTGTAAATCATGGCTGCAGTTCAGAGAAAAAGTACACAAAGGGACAGAATCCTATTCCATCTTTGCTAGCTGTGGTGACTGCAAGCTTTGAACTCGAATATTTCAAAGTAAAGGCTTCAGTCACCATGGGCCACTTAGCTAAGAGCATCAAAGTAGCGCCTAGAGGCACGGGCCGGGACAGACGGTAGCTTGCCTCATGGCGGACCATAGGCTTGATCCCAAGATCCAACTACTTTACAACTGATCCCGAGATCTAAAAATTTGTACTGCGGGGACTTTAAGCTTCTGCACAAGCTGTGGACAGCGACCCTTCTGAAGAGGATTTATCAAGCCCCAGCGGCCACTGTACAGCAGTCAGACATACATTACTAAGGTCTTAAGTCCTGTTTGTAGTCAAAAGATGATAAGACCACCAGATATGCTGTGTTTACAACAAACCTCTATTAATTGTGCGCATGCTAATTTGCAAGTGCAAGACATGAGAAATTCCTCCCACACTTCTGAAAATGTAGAGCCTAATCACGGCCACAGCACCGTCCAGCTACTGCAGGTTTCTGTTTAACATTTGCTTATTTAAAACATTGGAAGACACACTGAAGCTGAACGCTCATTTTCAATAGCCATCAGAGCTCACCAGAGCCTATACTGCAATGTCATATAGTATTATTTTTTAATATTATGATTTACTTTTGAAAGTGGCCACCTTTCCATTTCTCTCATGCAGAAAATAATCAAGTTAGGTAAGGGTGATATATTAGAGCATAAATATAAGTTTGAAGATTTATAGATAAAAACAGACATTGACTTTTTGGTAACAAACACAGTTTCAGTATTTTCTGGGTTTTATGCAATGCACTTAAAGTTAATGCTGGGCCTTAACTCTGTCAGTAAATGTACTTCAGTGCTGGCATCAAGCTGCCAACAGTTGCATCAGAAACTAATATCAGGGGTTAAACTTTTACATTTTTAAAGCAGTGTGTTCATCACTCCATATCTCTGTGTACATTTAGGAGCACTGCCAAGACAAGACAGGAGGTGTCTTACTTCTGTCTGCCTCTCAGATTTCCACATTTCCCTCTCCAAAGTAAAACGATGAGCCAATAGCAAATATTCTCCGCAGTTTTATGAAGACTCACCATCTGTCAACTAGAACCCAGTTAAGCTTACACACAAACCAAGATGCCAGAGGAATGCTGCCTTTTGCCAGCTATTGTTTTAAATTAATTGAAAAAAAAAAAGCAATTATAGTTTAAAAGTTGCACTTTTGTCAAGAAACATTGTGTTACATTAGAAATATCTATATTTAGAAGCATGTTTCAGTGGAATAAATGATCTGAATAGATAGATCGGAGGGTATTAGAGCATTCGTTTATGTCAAACTCACGGTTGACGTTGAATGCTAGATAGATAATCTCACTGATGTTGGCTTTAATGAGCAGCGGTGACAAAATGTTGTTCAAAAACAACATGCCACAGATTTATAATTCAAAAGGAAACAACATAACCTCCGCAACATCATAATGTTCAATACATTTTCCTTTTTTTAATTTATCCGTCTTTCCTGATATGTAGTCTAAATATTGCACACTTACTCTGAGGACTGGAAGCAGGCTATAGATTGTCTGTTTTGTGCATTACCATGATCAGTATGTTAGTGCAATGACAGCTGTCCAGAACCATTGTCAGCCCACATTATCTTGAAGGTCCCCTGCTATTAGATTCTCAGTCAACCAAGAAGATTCAACAGACTGTGACATTGTTAGACCTGCTGTTCCTGATGGTTACCTTGGTTTAGATAGTCTGGACTCTTATTGTTGGTGTTCTGCACGTCGAAACTCCCTTGTCAGAGATTGACATTTTTATTGTGTTCTACCTGTGCTACTGTATGGCGCGTTGTTAGAGGAGCAGCATTTGCTGTTATTGTGATAAATGTTTGGAGGAGACTGCAGCGTATGGCTGAGCTAGAGAATAGCCCCCACAATGTCTGTGTGCTCTGTGTTTTACTTACATTACTCTGTTGCTAATTCTTTTGATTGATTTTGTTTCATTTATGGCTCAGCGCAGTTCGGTGAGGCCTTTGTTTATGCTGTATCAGAGACAGAGACATTGATTAGGCCTGACGCCTTTTCTGTGCCCGCAGTACACGGTGTGTGGGAGGAGTGGTCACCGTGGAGCCTGTGCTCATTCACATGTGGCAGAGGTCACCGCACTAGGACTAGGATGTGCTCTCCTCCCCAGCATGGAGGCAGGGCTTGTGATGGACCTGAGACCCAGACTAAACTTTGCAACATAGCCCTTTGCCCAGGTATCATCTGTCTGCTCGCTTAATCTGTTAGAAATCATTTTATTAACAGTTATGAGTAAAGCATGGACTCGTTTAAAAGATCAGTTCTGTAAAATGCAATACACCTCACATATATTAGTCAGTGCAATATTTTAAAGGTAAGTAAAAAAAGAAAAGGGAATGGATGCAGACTCTGAGCTTACACAATAAAGCGGTTTAGGTAACCCTGTTGAGAAGGAATACTGTAATACTGACGTCAAAATCACATACTCGCAGTTGCCTGTGAATGGTAAGCAGATTAGTGATGATGAGTTTCTCCACACAGTAAATGTTAGCTTTGCTGTCCTAGCAGACTCAGTGAAAACAACTCAATTTCAGATGCTTTCCCTCTTCCCTGACAAGAAGGTAGCGGCACTGTGTGCTTTGAACCTCTTAATAATATGAATCTTAATATGAAGCTACTCTTCCAATATCTGTTTTTTTTATGTCTTATTCTCTTTTGTCTCTGACTTTATTGGGAAATTCTAGTTGAAAAAACAAACAAAAAACAAAGCAGACACCCGACTGAAAGTCTGAGTCTTCAAATTTGACAAGTTGCCCTGTAAATTTTTGCATTTCACATAACATCTGTTTTATTGGCTTTCAGTATGAGAGAGAATAGTGATCTGAATATTTCCTCCCATTTCTGTCTGCCCTCCTTTTCCCTTCACTTGGGACATGCTTGTTGGGTTGTGGTTGGTGCCTCAGTGGACGGACAGTGGCAGGAGTGGAGCTCTTGGAGCGATTGCTCGGTGACCTGTGCCAATGGCACACAGCAGAGGACCAGGCAGTGCTCAGCAGCCGCCCATGGGGGATCTGAGTGTCGCGGTCACTGGGCAGAAAGCAGAGAGTGCCATAATCCTGACTGCACAGGTAAAAAATCCTGAGCCTCTTAATTCCATATCCGCTTTGATGTCTAAATTTGAAAACAACGATTCTAAACAGGGAAGAGAGAGAGAGACAAAAAAAAAAGCCAGCCCGTCCCATATTGTCATCATCATTATTACAGTCATTACCATGTAGCACAATCTATCGCCTTTAACTGAGCTATCTTACTCTCCCTGATGCGTACAGAGAAGCCCTGTAGCAAGAATCAAATCGGCATTGTAAGAATCAAGAGTAATGTTCAAGACCGTGCTCTATCAATTGGATTTGAAAAATCCAGTTAGATATACTGTATGCCTTTCACATAATTCTGGGTTAGCAGCCCGAACTGTCTGTCAACATCATAGATGCATTAGAGGCTCAAAGATGTCTGCTTAGAGGTCTCAATCAGGCTTTGAATTGTCTGATCATGTGAAGGGTCTGAGCACTCTCATAATCTCCTGATGCAAATGTAGCTGCAAAAACAGCTAGGTTTCTAGTCTGTAGCTCGCCGATATGTGTGTGTGGAGCATGGTTTCCTCTTTAGTTTTCAAAGTCATTACAAATGTTGTTTCAATAATCAGCCAGCCCTGTGGTCTGCCGGACCCCTAAAACAGAGGCAAATGCTTGCGAATGCGTATTTTTAATTTGTGCTTATGATAATGAAGAAGGTGATGCTGTTGTTTGCCGTTACAGTGAGAGAATGCATTATACAGTTTATTCATTTAATGAGGCCTATCTATTTAGCAAGTCCTACTTGTTTCCAAGGTGAGAGATCAATCATTAGTGAGAAACACAGCCACTATTTAACAAGTCAGCACAATGTCCATTAGTGCTGGAGGCACTGCTTTGACAAAGAGTTCAAGGCAAAAGCATCATTTTTTCTTTTTAGAACTAGCTAAATGCATGTTTGGCTAGTTCCTAGAAATTATGGTATTTTTTTAATGTAACTGAATAGATTAAAGTCTTTAAAAAAAGCCTAATAACTACAATAAATGCCTGTGCAGGTTTTTGAATCAATGCTATGTGTTTTCAAATGAAAACAATTTCTTCAGAACTGCTGGAACAATGAGCTCTTTGAAACACATGAGCATGCATCTGTTTGAAGAATCAGCTGCTTCATGTGCAGGCAAAGAAATCACTATTCACTGGGATTTGATCAATGTCTTGCAGATAGTTTCAGCCAACAGGTCATCGTGGTTTTTCCTGGTTTTTCTTGCTTCCAGTAGCAATCCCGACAGAGGTTAGTTGTAGGACATGATAAATGCCCGTATAAGTGAAGAAGGGGTAAGTGGAGGTTAGAATGAGCGGTGTGTGTTTCCTGCTCACACGGTGTTGTACCTTTCCATTCAGAAGGGCGTGTGATTTACTACATCGCTGAAGGGGAGCATCTGTTTTTTTGTCTAACGCAGAGTTTAACAGTGTTCATTACAAGGGCATAAATCGTACCTCTGGGTTTGGAAACGTCAGCATAAATGTGTGTGTGTGTGTGTGTGTGTGGTTTTATTTGTTTTTTTAATATCGTCAAAACGATGTGAATAATCATTTTCTTTAGCCATAAAATACACACACCCCTGATTATTACAGGTGATATTGTTCATTTGTGAAATACTGCCAAGAAATTACGTTTTCAAACTAAAAGCATGAGTAGCAAAATATATAAATGTAATCAAAAGCTAAAGATATCACACACTAAATAAAGACATTTTTATAGCTGTTTCTTTTTAGTTGATCTTCTGCTGTTTTTTTTTTTAAGTAGTTGTTGTATTTGTAATAGTGTCGGTTTCTAACTAGAAATGATTCCATTTTAGCTAATGGCCAGTGGAATCCTTGGGGTCCGTGGAGTGGCTGCTCAAAGTCTTGCGACGGTGGATGGCAGAGGCGTGCTCGGGTGTGTCAGGGGGCAGCGGTGACTGGGCAACAGTGTGATGGGAGCGGAGAAGAAGTCAGAAAGTGCAGTGACCAGCGGTGTCCAGGTGAGTCAGAGCATAATAAGACTTAAGTCTGAGTGGCCACAGAGAAGCTGAATGAAAGTGAGGAGATAATTATCTCTGTGCACTGACTGACATGTCTTGTTATAAGAGATCAGTTAAAACTGAGTCTGAAGAGGGGGTGCAGATTAGCAGAGGTGGATGACTGAAATAAATGAAGAAATTGAAATCATGGTGACGGACATACCGAGAAATTGAAGTATCATCAAAGCTTAAAGTACGGTTTTCAAAATAATCTCCTTTGAAGTAGAGTCTTAAACATGAAGTCACGTAATACTTCTATTCTCTGAAGTAAAGGAAGCAGTGTTCCACAAAAACGTTAAAAACGTTTTTTCCATTATTATAATTAAGAAGTACCTTCCCTCATAAAGACTGAGGCATGTGAAGAGGGTAAATTTTATTATAATCCATAAATGCATTCTCAGACTCTCTGAAACTATACAGCTTTGATCTCTTATATTTCCATACCTCTTAATATGCAGTATGAAGAAATTGTTGCATCATACTGGAAAGACTAAAAAGCTTTTAGCATTGATGTAGTAATGTTTGTATCACTTTGCACTCCAGCACCTTATGAAATTTGTCCTGAGGACTATGCAGTGTCAATGGTGTGGAGACGAACCCCTTCAGGAGAACTCGCCTTCAATAGATGTCCCCCTAATGCCACAGGTGAGGACAGAAGCTACATCATATATTTGTGTATTTTCTTTTTTTAAAATATGAGACTTAGTTGTGTTGCTTTATAGCAACAATGTTCCTGGTTTGAACCGCTTGTGGAGTATGCACGGTCTCCTTTGGCTCTGTGTACCCTGACTTCTACTCACAGTCCAAAGACATGCATGTTAGGTGAGCTGGTGTTTCTAAATTGGCTGTAGGTGTGAATGAGAGAGTGTGTGGTTGTCTGACTTGGCATTGGCCTGTTCAGGGCATGCTTCTCGCTCAAAGTTAGCCAAGTAAGGCTCCCCTGGATAAGTGGTTAAGAAAATGGATGGATGTAGTAAATGGTGAAAATAAAAGCCGAGTTGCCTCAGGTCTTCTTTCAGTTTGACACTGAACATTTCATTGTTGGCAGCAGTTCCAACACTAGTAAACAAGCTTTAATCTGTGATGTTAGATCTCCTTTTTGATTTCACAGGGAAAATATTGTGGGATTTATAGAATTTAGGTTCATTTTGCCACCCACCTCGGCATGGTCAGGAAGTCAAACGCACGGCAAACTCGGGTTGCCTGGAGCAATGTGCATTGATTTGACTTGCAAACAAGTGGCAGTGCAAATTCAAGCAAGCGAACTAATGAAAAAATAATTATTAAACTGTAAGCACTACTGGCAAATGAATGGAACTTGTCTGCAGAGACACAACCCTTGATTTACTTATTTTTTCCACTCAAATTTTCTGGAAATTTAAGATAGCAATCCTGCATGACAAAAAGGTGCAAAAAGACAGACGAAATTACAAATTTTATATTGTACAAATAAGCATTTTACTAAAAAAAAAAAAAAAAGAATACACTGCAATAAAGCTTCTGCTGTAATCACTTTGAATGACATTTTGTAATTAGATGTTCATTTTATTATCACTAGTTTAATTGTCCTTATAGAATGAAGCTTTATTGGTAAGTGTACTCATCTTGTTAAAATCCTATTACTTATCCTCATTCCCCCAAGGGAAAAAAACATATTGGATTCCATCCAATTTAAAATAACAAGACAAGACTTTTCATACATGTATCAGCGCAATTTTGCCACTTCATAAGGTGCAATGCTTGCTGGCCCTAAATGTCGAAGTTCGCCTGCACACTCTCCGGATAGTTGATAAAAGCTCTTCTTTCCATTTCCACATGCGGTGATGTAATTTATGACTGCACCGTCAATACACTGCCTGTGCACTGGATGGGGAAAAAAACGTGATTCTGAGGGCATTGTTAAAGAAAAGCACACTGATGTCTGTTTTCAGACAATAAGCAGAGGCTTTAATGCGTGCATGGAGAGGAGAGCAATTGAAGTTCTGTAACAGATTGAGACTAACTCTGAGCTATTGAAAAGAAGAAAAAGGAGGGGGAAGCTGGGAGAGGATAAAAAAGGGATGCGGCCTCTGATAAATCTGCTGTGATACAGGTTACCTTTGCTCTTGCTGAAGGTCAGTTTGCTAACAGCAGACAGACATCGGCGCAGTGGAGGGCTGTCGTGTGTAGAAAGTTGCATGTGGGTTTGACACAGTAAGCTGTTGCAAAATGCAAAACAGTCTGGCGTTCCTAAAATTACATTTCGTCCCCGACCATAAAATGGCTAACTTGCAAACTAGATGTAGTAGCAAACACACTGTCATTCACAGATGGCTCACCTGCGGCAAAGTTACGCAGAGTAAGATTTAGTAGCATGACATTAGCTTTCCGGCTTGACATTAGTTTTATGGCTAATAACTGTTTGGCACCACTAAGCTATTTCCAGCTTGCGGTGAGGGATTGTGTGTATGTGTGTGTGTGTGTTTATTTGTGTGATGTTGGAAATGCGACACCTTTCTGACCTTTACTAAGAATTTCATTTACACCAAGCGTTGTCTTTATGTGCTAAGTTCGGGTCAGACAAGGCGAGGCTCTTTATTCTGCTTTAATGAGCTTTCTTATATTCGCGTGAGCTGCGACACAGAAGATTAATTCAGACCACGTGTTATTTTCTTACATGCAGCTAATTTGGATGCAGTTTCAGATGTGAGCACGCTGTCGCTGCTGCCTGTACTAGGTCAGCACTCTGGGCTGAGTTCTTTGTAACTGCCAGTGTTGGTGGACTTCAAGTTCAAGTCTTCAAGTTCAAGATGTGCTATTGGTACCGTATGTGCAGTACATCTTGAACCCAAAGTGATGTTATCAGGGATGCTATTTCACTTTGCCAAAGAACTGGGTTATACTATAACAGTCTCATAATAAAAAGGTAAAAATCCAGCTAGCAGACATATTTCATGTTTAAGTATAGTGCATCCTCCCTGTCAAAGCTAGCACAGAGGACTGGGAAAAAGATGGTGATAGACAATAGGTCAGGGCAGGTCAAGTTTATCTCTAAAGCCATTAATCACAGTTCTAGAGTCAGCAGGTTTCGGGGAGCATACATTAAGAAACCATAAATGAAAACAACTCTTCAAAGCCTTTGCCCTGGAATTAGATCAAGGTCAGACTCAAACCTTTAGTGAATTTCCTCACTGATAGTCTCATCCTTCCTGGACAGCCTGATACGAAATGGCAGAGGTAAACAAAGATGAAATATTGATCAGAGAAGGTAACTGAAATGTCTGAAGTGGGCAACACGAATGCAGTGTGACGGCACGGGTGAAACATCCGAATGTGTTAGGGGGCTTCAGCACCTACTCACCCATAGCGCCTGTCGTCATCAAGGTCATCACAGAAAGAGCGCTGGGTGCAGGGGCGTCCGCACCGACTTGGTCATCGGCGATGACAACTGCCACCGGAGGCAAGAATGGGGGGAAAAGCGAGACACGTATGGCACATGAATTTGTTCGCAGTGTAGCAGCCAAGCAAAAAATGTCCCCAAACTGGTAAACATGCGAGCTACATTTACATCTACTTTTAGATGCAGAGTGTGCTGAAGCACAATGAAAACTGTAAGATTTTGAGCTTCCATTGCCCATTTATCATAGTCTGGTCCTTCATTAAATAAAGGTGTATGGTTTAATTTGTTTCAGAACAAAAGCAATTTAACAATTAGGTACAACAACAAGGTATTGTTAATGACACAAGATCAGCTACAGCATTAAAGCCATCTGCCAAATCTTGTATAGGTCCACCTCGTGCTAGAAAAACAGCTCTGACCCAGTGACGTTTGCACACAGAACCCTGGAAGCATCATTTAGTGCACGTGATACCGGCAGTAGATCTTTTGAGTACCATGGGTTACTTATTAGGCTTGTTTAGGCTTGTTCCCAAGCATATTCAGGGCGAGTGGGAGGCCGGGCCAGTGCCTTGGGCTCTTTGTTGTGAGCAGATTTTGCAGTACAGCGTTGAGCATTGTCCTGCCGAGGAAGGCAGCTGATGCCGGGGAGTGCCGTTGCCACGGGGGTGTGTGCTTGGCCTGAAACAACGTTTAGATAGGTTGTAGCGTCAAAGGAACACCCACATGAATGCCAGGACCCTAAGTTTCCAAGCAAAACATTGCATTTGTATGAATGGATCGGCGTTATTTGCTAAACCTGCCAGTGGCTGCTCGGTGCAATAAATCCTTTGAGTTTGATTTATATGCCGTTTCTATTCCCGCTAAGACCTGAAGGTACTAGTTACTTTGGCGGAAGATGTTTTGCATTCAAAAGTTCATGTACTGTTATTTATGTGCCCGTGTAATGAGAGCCCCAAATCTCAATTATCAATTAAAGTTCAAGTCATCCAACTGAAAGTGGGAGCAATTAAAGCAGCAACACCACAGGCTATTAAACAAACTCTTCACAGGTTAATGCAGAGAAAATTATCCAGCCGTCTCCAGCAAATAAATTAGACACCACCCTTCACTGGGGAAGGTATTCATTTTTTTATTTGTTAGTTCTACCTTTTCATAATATTAATGGCAGCCATTTCAATCCAAGACGTTTTACTTGTCATATATTCCAGAAACATTTTTTTTAAAGAATGTAAGGGATTTTTTTGTTCTTTTTCACCACCGGATGGTAACCACAGAAATGTTGTTCAAAGCCTCTTTTTAACATTGTCTCGTTTCCAACTCCTCAGCTGGTAAACACTGTTTTAGTATTCCGTCTCGGTGAGGATCACTTGAATAAAAATTCTCTTTTAATGGCACCCAAGTCGAGAGCGCTGTCAAACCAGACAGCGACAGGTCAGCGCCTCAGTGGAGTGCAGCCTTGGTTTTGATCAAGCACATCTCCACTGACCTATATTTCATACTCAACTTACTCCACGTACATCACTGATGATGCAAGGACAGATGACAGATTGGGGCAGAATTACAGCGAAGGCCTCGAGTTTGTGTCTCTAACCCTATTTGATCCCACTAGCAACCCGTTTCAAAGCCAAGGCAGATTGATATCTAATTATATATCTGTACAATATAAACTTCATTTAAAAATAGATCAGTTTGGGAGAAATTCAGTTCACAAAACTGGCAAAAGAAAGACTTACAAATGAATCAGTGTCTATCTCTCAACACTGACCATTCATTAAGCTTCTTTTACTCTTGTTTTGCTGTTTGCATACGGTGGCTTCAGGAGTGCATCTTTCCTGAGCAAGTAAGGTGTGCTTATGGACATATTTATATAAAGTGCAAGTCTGCTATTAGGTTTTATTTTTGCACACTTATAAACCACAATCGAGAGCTCCCCTTTTTCAAACTTAAAATTAGGTTATTTAAATAAAAGATGAGCTCCAGTGCAGGGATTTTACTATATTTACTATATATTTTTCTATACGTGGACAAAATTCACATCACTGAGCAACCTCAATGCTTATCAATTTCAAGCAGTTCTTGAATTTGACCTCTTCTTATTGCTCTGTGCCTTTTTGGCAATTCCCACTCAAAGAACCCAACCTTTCTCAGCTTACAGTGACCTTTTGGAATGTCAGAGCCAAAACACTGAAGTGAATGCCTAATTTCTAGGTCTCAAACCATCATAAAACAGACTTTTTACTATCTTTTTGATAAAAATTCAGAGCGAGCATTCTTTTGATTGCTGGCATCCTTAACAGTAGATAGAGTGGTAGAGATTGTGAAGCAAAACTCTAAACCACCCAGGTGAAACCCGCTTTGAGGGACACAAAGGCTCAGCCCAGTGTAAAGCACTGGGCCTCTCCTGCTGCCCCCTGGGTTGTCTCATGGTGATGCATGGTTGCTCCCGGCACACAGCGAGCGTGCACTCTCGGCTTCAGTGGATATCACCAAGTAGTAGCTGTGGAGAAGGTGGGCGTGTGTGTGTGTGTGTGTGTGGGGGGGGGTGTTTGTGATTTCTCTTTGTCTGTGTGTGTTAGTGTGCGAAAGTCAGAGAGAGAGCACGGAGGAGAACAAGAGATAGTGAAGGTTTTATGTGAAGCCCGGATGCCAGGGGAAATGTTTTGTGCTGTAGGAGTTTTCCTCAGGATGTCAAGCACCTGTTTTGGAGCGGTGGGGTGATGTGTGAAGTGCACTCCACCAGGTCGACAGCTGGGAAGGTGTGATGTTGGACCCCTATGTAGGCCGTGTGGGTGGATATTGGGTAGTTCTGCTATTTCAGGATTACTGTTTATATGCCTGACAGCTATCACAGCTGAGTTGCTGCATGTTTGAATAAGCGACTGCAAGTTGTATTAGCCGGGCACGCAGAGCATATATTAAAAGGCACGGGACTGTGTCGTTTGGCATAATATTAAACCATTTCTGTTCAAATACTGTAATACTTTCCTTCCATAAACCTTTCTTTATTGCCTTCTCTAACGAGCGGGTTACATCAAATTTTGATGGTGAATGACGGACAAAGAGGAAAAGATAAGACTCTCATTAAAAGTATTAATATTATTCTCTTTCCTTTTTGTCTCTCTCCCCTCCTCTCATATCCAACTAATCCCACTCTACCCCTTCAATCTGCCTTTCTTTGCCCCACCGTTGGTCTTAACTCCACCTACCCCCCCACCTCTTCTGCGCCTGCTCATCTTCTCATCCCTCCCTCGCCAATCCTCCTCTCCAAATCTGTCGCTGTCTCCTTCCTCCTCTACAGGCACCACTAGTCGACGCTGCTCTTTGGATCACCGCGGTATGGCCTTCTGGGAGCAGCCCAGCTATGCTCGATGCATAACAAATGAATTCAGATACTTGCAGCAATCAGTAGGTGCAAAGTCAGCTCCCTCTCACAGCCTCTGTTTCCAATGCACCATAAATTACCTCCCCAGTGTCCCCCTCCCAATTCTCATCACAATGTAGCCAAAAAGATTAACCACTTCCAATAGAGGAGCAAATTTAAGCACACATTTTTTTCCTTTTTTTCCCTCCCTGATGTCCTTCAGCTGCTGAATTTAGAGTTCCAGGCATGTTCTCGTCTGTGTTTCTAAATAAATTACAATATTGATGATATCGCAGTTACAATATATGTTGCTCCTCGGTTACTCGTCACTTGCACTTTGCTATGTTTTGGTAAATAGGATCCACTGCAACAACTTGCAATATTTTGTTCATTTAAAATAAGACTTGCAGCATGAAGAAAAAAGTAAATAAGTAAATAAATAAATAACAGTTAGGGAAACTCAGTGAAACGGTATTTTCAGTTTAATAGAATCATATCTTTCCCTCAAGAGAACCTTTTGTGAATTCTCTCTTTTTTTCTTTCTTTTGTCGTCTGATGAGACTTTTTAATCACACAAAAAGCAGTTTTCATTGAAGCCCGAGTGCATTTTATTGCACCATTTCGAGTACTTTTGCTTTAGTAGGTTTGCCTTCAGCCTGAAAACACAGAAGCGCTTCCACTAGAATAGGTAATTTTGGTAACCCTCCATCACTGTTAAAAATAAAATAATTCAGAAGAGCTGAGATAGCACATATAGCGCTGCACCTGTGAACGTGTATTTATGGACGTAAACCCTGTGCAATGATGTGAGATGTCATTTCACTCTGCAATTTCTGCCTAAATGTGTGTCTTCTGCTCCAGTTAACTCTTTTATTCGTATTGGCTCATTTCAAAACATCCGCGAGGCAGAATACATTTCAGGCCTGGCGTAGATATAAGTGTCACATAAAGGGCCTTAGAGAGTAGAGTCTTTCTTCCTGATTTTTTGCACCCCATTTAATCTAAATGTGTAGCTTAGCGTGTATCTTGCGAACTCAACAGAGGACACCGATGCCCCAAGTTCTGTCCTCTCCTGTTTTTGGAGGTTCAGGGGCACCTTGCCAAGGGCCAGAGGATGCTGGCGGGGGATGGGATGTCCCAGGTCACAAAAAACCTGCTGGATCTCACCCAGAGGAGGAACTTCTATGCTGGTGACCTCCTGTCTTCAGTAGAGATCCTTCGCAATGTGACAGAGACCTTCAAGAGAGCCAGCTATGAGCCGTCATCCGATGACGTGCAAGTAAGTGGACGCTGGCTTCATTTGAACATGTGGACATGAATCTTTGTGAAGTATGCAAGGATGCCATGCCGTTACTTAGGTAACATAAATGTTTTATCATTTTGGGTACCAGAGCTATAATGTGTAATGTGAGAAAAATGAATTCTATTGTGTGTGAAATAGCACAAACACCCAGGGCTCTATTGTATCAGGAGATCTACTCCACATCCTAAGCTGTTTCATCTCATCATGTTGGGCTTGACTGCAGTCTTGATCCTCTTTATGTCAATAGGATGATGGAGATTATAGCAAAAGCCCCACCTCCATCACCAATAAGACAATTTATGCTCCCAGGGCTGTGCCAATTTCAAAGCCACCCTTCACAGGCCTCTTTATTCTGTCCAGCATGCATACATGTTAGGTTTTTTTATATATATATGTGGTTGTTTTGCTGCGTGTGCATGTGTGAATGGTTGTGCTATATATGTGTGCAATTTTTTTTTGCTAATTGAGAATAAAATAATTGTTATTATGTGATGCCAAAAGCATACTGTAACAGCATACTACTGTAGTTTATTCGTGAGGTTTCAGGTTTTGTCTGTGTTTGTTACTTCTGGATAAAGTCATGAGTAACAGCTCCAGGAAATTAGAAAAATGCGAGACTTGTCCATCAGCTCTTTGCTGTATAGAAATAGTAATAATTTCTCCTTTATTAGCAGGAAAGTTCAGTTATTTAAATACCAGCCACACAGTTCTCTGCTTACTGATAAGCTCGGTCAGATATTAAATCTGAAATATAGCCGTAGTGTTTGGCATTGTGCTGTTTTCTAGGTTTCAGGTAACTCAAAGCACATAAAGAAAGGCAAAAACAAACAAGCTGTCCTACTTAGGTGATTACAAAACTCTGATCTAATTCAATTAAAAAAAAGAAAAATTCAACTCAATTAATCATGCACCTCCGAAGTGTGGTGATATTTGGACTACAAACTGTCAGAGATGCTCTTTTCTTTAGTTTTCTGTTGGTTTAGTCCACTTTTATCAACAGTTTCCTCTTGATGTAAGGCGCATGGTCCTTTTAATATTCTGCAAAACCCCAAATGTTTTGTCCATGGATGGATACAAAGATGCCATTCATCCGTTTTCCTACCGTAGAAAACCTATGAAATGAGGAAAATGTCCTATCTCTGGTTATTAGGAGCATGTGTGGGCAGACAGGAGAGCAGTCAGCCAGCCCAACCCCTCCGTGTGTCTCTGCGCTAATGCAGTGTTAAAGTGGGCACATTACCACCAGAGGGAGCATAAGCATTCAAGTAGAAAACAAGATAGCCTGTGTCAAGAGAGAGAGCCACTCCCTCAGGCATATTGTAGACCAAACGAAATAACAAGGCTAAAGATCAGACAGGGGTCCTATTACGACTGCAGGCATGCACCCCAAGCAGTCCCGCTCTCCACTGCTGAAGAAGACAATCCACACAGCTGCTCAAACATTCCCTTTCATCTTTTTTTTTTTCTGATTGCAGCTTGTGCTTTTCTCCTGTAGCATTAAGTGTTTGCTGCAAGCTGCAGGAGGTCCAAGGTGTGTTGCTGTCAGAGCTCAAGCACAAATTCCATCATTTCTCCTATCGTTTACCATCACGGTTTCAGTGGCAGATTTCCTGGTGCTATTGGGCCCTGCGGGAGAAAATCATTATGCCCCTACAGAAATCTCTTATTTTTCGCTATCGTAAATGTTAGTATATTATCCATAACAGTAGGTTTTTGGAGTGCATGGTGTTTATGTCATGATTTGAGAAAAGCGTCTAGCTGCAGTGCCTGTTATGCTGGTGTGTGGGAGTGTTATGCATTTTCCCTTTCATCATCTCCACAGAACTTCTTTCAAATCATCAGCAACCTCCTGGAGGAGGAAAATAAGGAGAAATGGGAAGACGCGCAAAAGGTAAGCATGTGGCAGTACACCTAGTAAATAATTCAGGTTGCTGCATGAACACTGTTTGCCTCAAACTTCGACTCAAAGCTTGTTTGCAGTTTCTCCATCTGAATAGCACAGATTAAGGCAAGTCAGGTGGATTTAGGATTATGTTACACTTACACATATGGTAGTGAGGTAATTTAGCAGGTGTGACATCTGGCCTCATTTAGAAAAAAACTAGTTCCTCCGAGCTCCACTTGGTGGCAGCAGCACCGTCATAGACATTGTCCAACCATCAACACTGCAGGACTCATTCCTTCTGCATTGTTTCACCCAGCTGATGCCGATGAAAGCAACCAGTGTGATTAGGACCTTACTCAGGTCAGTTTTACCATAAAAAAATGAACATTTCAGCAGCAGTCTCCCCTCTTGATATTTATCATATAGTAAAGGTGGATGGCGAAAAATTGTTTCAATATCCTTTAGAAATTGAGAAGCAACATACTGCAACACAGCGGCAATGGTGTGTATGTCAAAATTTAAGTGCCAAAAAGTACCCATTCACAAGACTTGTTTATTCACGAAGATTGGATTCTAGCATCGTCCTGGTTTAGACACATCTCTCAGTTTGAGAGGTGGCAGGTCTTGTTTTCAAAACCGCCACTGGTGTCTGAGACAGCCTGAACCCTGAAATCACACACATCCAGACTCTGACAGAGATGCCATCTGTGATGACTGCGAGTCTGCAAAGGGCATCTGCTCTGTTGTCACCTTCACAGGTAAATTGGGTGTCACCTGCACTGACACATGAGTGAGGTGATGCCTTAAAATGACTTTTTTGTCTTACTTTCTCCACACCTGACTTCAGCTGATGCTATAAGGGGACACAGGCAGTTCAAATATTGCTCAGAGTGCCAGTCCTGGCTGTCTACACAAGGAGTAATTAGGTGTTTACTTACTGGAGCTTTAATTTGGCAGGGCCCCTAAAGGGATGATGTCGGTGAGAGAAGCTCACAAACTAGCAATTTCATCAGCGAGTATGCGTAAGAGATAAGGACAGACAGATCCGAGGAAGTATAGATAAATAAATATAATAAATATATTGTCTCCATGATTTAACACCCAGAAGAAATGTGCGACACTGTTAAATATTCCCGCAGTTATTAATGTGCATGTCTGAGATGTGCTGCTTTAGTTACATCATTATAAAAAGTGAACATGGCCAAGCTGCATCGCCTTACACAGTTTTTCTCACTTGTTGGGTTTCTTGCATTAATGAGTGTTCTCGGCTCAGCTTCCACAGCACCCACACACCAAAAACACGTACATGAAACACCTCACTATTGGGCTTAACTGGCTGTAAAGTTGGCTTTTTGCACTGATCACTATATATTCACCTCCTGCCTCTGTTACCATGGCAAGGAAAGGAACAGCTCTGTCTGCAGAACCTCTGCTGCAGCCATTTCCCTGCACTGCCTTCACGTCTCGCGGTTGCCATGGAGACCAGCAGAATGAACATTACTGCACTCTGCGTCAGATATGCCGGAAGGGGCGACATGATGTGCTTTTCTCCCCCACTATGGCTTTCACTCTGCTGCGTCAGAGGCTCTCGACTTCAGCACCGCTGATCCGTTATCCCGGCTTAGCCGCGGCACATGAAGAGGCATGTGCACACACACACAAGGTGCTACAGAGGAGGGAAATACCTGCCTCAGGTGTTTGTTGAATATCAACTTAGAGTGAGGTGCTAATTGCTAAATGCCACTCAAAGGCTTCTCTAATTGCCTGACATCACCACTGTGTGCTTACACACTTATTTACGCCCCACGATTACATGAGTCTTGTGCAGAACTGAAAAATGGTTTTGCAGTACAGCACGATATATCCCATTAGATGTGAGACATCACCAGTAGATGGGCAGCCAGTAGATGGGCAGCCAGGACAGTAATCCAATCTTTTGAAGGTCAATTATTGGATTAACGTGCCTTTGATTTATTGACTTTGGGGAAAAGAGCTGAGTGGACCAGCAGTGTTACCGCTTGTGCTATAGAGCTGTCCATGGTTCTGAATTCATGCCCCTTCACTCTTATGTGAGTGCTGATGTCCATGGAGCAACACATGAACTGAGGCAATCACCCTTGACTTGGCAGTGCTTTTCCAGAAACAGGCCAGCCACCAAATGTGCTGGCACAGCTGGTGGTTACAGCTCTGATGCTGATGTTATTTGAATGGTTCAAATAGGGCTACAACTAATATATATATATATATATATATATATATATATATATATATATATATATATATATATATATGACTGGTTAATCATTTTCTTTTTTAGCAAGTTTAAAGATTTTATCTTTCATACAAAAATAAGTACAGAGCACCGCATTTTAATCACTGGAGAACTATTTAAATTAAAACTGTCCCCTTGTCTTTATTATCTTGTCCAGATCTACCCCGGAGCAGTGGAGCTCATGCAGGTCATAGAAGATTTCATCCACATTGTTGGACTGGGCATGAAGGATTTCCACAATGCCTATTTGATGACTGGAAACTTAGGTAAGAATCGACCCACTTTGCCTTCGGGCCCACAGCCGCTGAGATCGTTTTACCATTTGTTTTGGCTTGATATGGACACATAATCCCTGTGCTCCTCTGACTCCTTGTGTCAATTTCCCCACCATCATTAATTTAGGATAAATGCTGGGCAGTTGGGGTGGGGGAGTAAAATTACTGCAAATCAATAATGTTGATTAAAAGTGATCTTGCGGTCTTAATGTGCTAAATTCCAATGAAAACATTTAACATTCAATCCAATATCAGTAGCTTACAGCACGGGAAAACCTGCAAGAGTAGTGCCTTCACTAGAATAAATACAGACAATACTTCAAAATAACAACCACGGGTACACATTTTATTGATGCTCAAGTACATTTTAAAACACTGGGGATTTTATAACGTAGTTCAGTAAGAGCAGCACTGCTTTCTTGATATTATAAAGCCTCTCACTAATTACAGACTCTATGTATAGGTTCAAAGTTTTTGGTCAATAATCACATCAAATATTTATGTTATTCTGAAGATGAAATGGTTCGGTTTGACGCTGCACTGAACTGTAGTTCTGTGAGTAAGACTTGATTAGCAGAACATACCCTATAGCGTGTTTTGCAGTTGTACAGCCGCATGAAAAAAATTAATTAAAAGTAAATAAATAAAAGATTGCTTGTCAGTTCCTTGTGAGATTAGCAGTCATGGAAAAAATACAGTAGGAGGGTCTGATAAAAGGCTGTAAAATTGGAAGTGAAATTACAAGTTTTCTTTGCAGCTGTAATGAGCTTTTCTGCAACGCTGATTTTTGTCGAGATTATGACTTGAAAAACAAAACAAAAAAACCAAAGTGCTGCTGTGGGTTCTTTTAGCTTCGGTCGCGCAGCCTCTCGGATGATCTGAGGTCTCTGTGGCATTTAATTTTTTACTCAGCCACAAATGGTGTCTTACTGGAATGGAAGAGTAGACCGGTGGTCTTCATTTATTCATGCAAGGGAATGTGAGTGTGCACAGCTGTGCCGTTAGGCCATTCCTCTTAAGAGGAACAGAGATGTTTCATCCTTGTATTCTTTACAATAGCTAACATTCAGCTCACTTCGAGCACACTTGCTCTCTGTGTTTCTTTATGGTATGTGATTTCCATAATGATGAATCGGTAGTCTCCAAGAATAGCATACCAAACATGGTTCAATGAATGCACACATCAAAGTACCATTATGAAACACTGTGAGAGTCAAATTAACTAATGGATTTAGACTTGGAAATAAGGTTTGAATGCATTTCACATTGCCAATCATTAATGACTTCTTTCACAGATGTGAGAATATTTCTGTGCTGTTCTCCTACTTTATACTTTATACTTATTTCAATTTGTCTTAATGGCCATCATCCAAACTCATTGCCAGTGCCTTCTCCTTATGCTCAAAAAAGCATTAACACATGACCCCTGCTTTATACACAAAATGGAATCTGCTCTGTGAAACTGACTCTAAATTGACGGTTAAGTGTTTTATCCACATTCATACAAGTTCCTTGAGCAGTTTAATGCATTTCATAGCTGGGCTTGAATTTAAACTATTTGACTCTTATTACATTAGTCAGCTGTATCACTGTCCTGGCCTCCACTCAAACCTGCTGGACTGTGGACTAAACCGTGTCCATCTGTCAGATGTGATATGACAGGAAATATTTTTGGTAAGCGTGGAGCAATGATGCAACTCACCGCTGTTTCTCAGTCTAATAAAGCACTGAGTGGCATAATCAGGGCACCATATTCAAAACATTCTGAAGTTTTTCTCCCACATGTCCATAGAAAGAAGATATATTGATTTCATGCAACAAGAAATGCAAGAAACTGAAATAATGGAATAATTCCAACACGGTCAACAACATCTTCTTGCTTATTATCATCCGAGTTATTATATTTTGTTTGGATTTTTTTCTTAATTTATGTATATGCACGCTCATTGTAAAGATTACCTTTATTTTGAAATAACAACAGCGTTACTCGGTGTGAGATCAAAAGGCAAGTAATTAAAAATAAAACTTGTGTTGAGAGGAACTTGATTGTTTTGACTGAAGGAGGAACAGCTACACTAAAAGTGTGCCCACATAAAGTGCAAAGAACACTTGTCGGTAAAAAGCTCATTTGAATAATCCCATCATTTTCTGTTAGAAATCTTAAGGAGCATGAGTGAACCTCTTAATAAGAGTATGTGAATGTTGGAAGCATCATTATTATGTAGAGTGCTAAAGCAGCTTTTCTTTTGGAAAAAGTGAGCACAAAGGCTCGGCAGAGAGGGGGGGCATTTGGCTTTTGAGCAATTATTTGGAGATATAACATTAATGAGTTGCCTCTGGCTAGAATCAACTTGACTGGCTGCTGGTGGTGGTAAAATACAGGGGCCTAGCTGGGAGAAATTATTATGCCAGAATGGACTCTCTGATTTAACTTTTTCTTTTTTTTCTAATGTCAAAATTAATTACCGCTCCTATAAAATGTTTTCGCATTTGCCACTGCAGAGCTGTTTTCAAAAAACAATCAAGATATGATTCGATACCACATGATTAATACATCGGACTTTCTAATTATCCCATCCGTGGCCAGTGCACCGGCACAGCCAGCCAATGGCAGTGATTTCAGCTCACACACACAGTGCCTTAGCGACCACGTGGCCCTTTTTGATTAAAGAAATGGAAAGTTTTGTGTCTCCATCAGTGAAAGCCAAGTGGAGAGCATCTGGCTGAGTAAGATATTGCGGCATCATTTCGTCACTAATTTATGGCAGCCTCTTGACACCTAGATAAATACTGGCTGTCACCACTGTATCGTCCTGTGTCCTCCTACTTTTAGTCAAATAACCTTGATTGGAAAAGGCTGTCCACTGCAGCAACTTGTTCTCCCTCCTTGCAAGCTAACAGTTGGAGGACAAAGTGAAGCTTGGGACATGCAAAAAAAAAATTTAACACAGTCTTGAAGGTGGACTGCATTACGCTCTATTGTCTTTTTTTTTCTGGTTGTCTACTGTGAGGCTGCGTGTCATGGTTGAGAGAATATTTTGACAGTAATAGTGATTAATTTCCACTGCACACACAATAGCTGGAAATGCTCATTAATTTCTTTGCAGGATGTTTATGTTGTCTGACTTCAATGGTTTACTTAACGCTGAACCTCTCATGAACGCATTCAGACGTAATGAGCGATGCAATAAATCCCTCTTATGAAAATGAACCATACAGAATACTCTTAGTGCAATGAATCGCTGTTCAGAGGCGTCGCTGTCCGTAATTACTGCTTTATTTGTGCTGCGTAGCCCCATCAGGCGGATTCAAAGTCCCATTTACCTGCAGAATTACCCAGAACTCTGAGAGACAGTCTTCCCAGCACCATGTTGTGTTTCACAGTGTGCCCTGTGACTAAAACCACAAACACGAATAAACATGCACGACGACTGCTGCTCCCGACATCTGGTGCTACGAACGGGCCTCTTTGCAAAAACGGCAGGTCTTGTGGTGCTCTGTGATTTCATGCCCGCTGCAGGATCATCCCAAACACCTAGATGCACCTTCACTGTCACTGATTTCACTCACACATGGAGTCTCGCCAGGATTCAAATTGTACTATTGGCACAGTACAATGAACAATAGAGCTTCTGCATCAATGGTAGGATTAGCCTCAGATTCCCCTTGCTGAAGCACTACCTGACTGGGACTGGATGTGATACCAGGTAGAGAACAGTACAGCTTTATCCTCCTCTTGTAATGCTAAGGCCCTTTCTGTTGATCCTGGGTATTTTCCTTGTCACAGCCTTAGTGCACTGACTGGCCTTTTATGGCACCTCAGCAGGGAGGTGCCATAAAAGGAAAGCGTGATTAAGGTGATTACCTTTCTAGTACTTGTCAGGTGCCAGTTGTAGCTTTGGGTTTGTATTTTGCAGCAAATGAATGCGTCAAAAGCCCAGTTGGCCTGGTATGGCTGACAGATGACCTGCATATTTGCATAATGATTCAGTTTCATGTAAAATCTACCTATTAATTTGTGAGAGAATGCAGACTCTGCATGTTGAACTCGAATCAAAGGACTGCCCTTGTGTTTACTTTTGAATGACAGTGGTGCAGACTGCATGGTTATGTTCATAATTTCATTTAATATGCAATGTTCAAGCAATGCTAATAATCTATATTTCCTCGTTTTTCTGTAGTTGCCAGCATCCAGAGGCTTCCAGCAGTGTCTGTGATGACTGACATTAACTTCCCCATGAAGGGCCGTAAAGGCATGGTTGACTGGGCCAGAAACTCTGAAGATAAAGTGGTCATCCCAAAGGGCCTCTTTGTTTCCCAGTCAGCAGGTATGGGACTATATCACCGAGTCATCTGACTGCTAGTCAAATACATCTTTCTTCAAGAATCAGAGGCACATAAACAGTCTCCACGTGCAAGCTCCATCTGTCTTAGAATATATATTCAGTATATACATACATATATTCTGTCAAGCTTCAGAATTACAACCTGCAGCAACACATCTTAAATGTGCAGGGAAACTGTAGTAGATTCGCAGGATTAATGCTTCATGAATACACAATGATTGATTCACTGGCCACTGTTGAAAATTGGAAAATATATGTCTTCACATCTCAGCAGAAGTGGAATGATTTTAGCTGAGTTGGAGTGTCTGACAAGTTACTAGACTTTCAAGCAGACACATCTGTCTTCTGAAGAATGGTTTTTCCCTTTAATGTTTATGCTTCACCACTCCTTGTTTAGAAAAAGTGAAATAATGGTACAAGCCTCTGAACAGAGCCAGTTTGCTTGCCTGTGCTTGTTCAGTTGCAAGAGTTTTCCATCAGCTCAGCATTTGTAGCGTCCTCTCAAACAATGCCAGTTGCCACTCTATACTGCAATCCAGAGCCAGGCAATTTGGTTGATTGGTGTAATCAGTCTTATCCGAAATATATCAATGATAGCAAAACAAGGAATTGATCAGGATGCCACGTGCTTGACCCAAACCAATTCTGCAGTGGATTCTGGCACTTCTCTTGCTGGACAAACAAAATCAGGTGTTAGTTAATGTGATTTGTTTGGAAATAAAAGCACACCTTCAGGTTTCAGTGGGCATTTATGTAAATGATTGTATATTTAATGAGCTAACACCTAATTTGCATATATAAAATGAACTTTAGAAAACTATATACACAACTACATTTTTTTAAATTCAGAATCTAATTTATACATCTGTTTGCCCTGCAAAATATGCTTAAAATGTTTGGGTTTTTTGTGGCTGATGACAGTGTTTCTTTACTTAAAAATTCGCAAAGCATCATCATTTGCAGTAGTAATAAAAAAAAGGGAAATCTATCTGACATGACATCAAAGCTTCATTTCCTCCTTCAGATATGGAGGGATCGCCTGTTTTCATTTTGGGAACCGTTCTCTACAAGACTCTTGGACTCATGCTACCTTCACCAAAGTAAGGGCAACATTTCTCATTGTCTGCGTTTTCTGGTCTGCTAGCAGGAGGAAATATGAGACAGATTTAATCCTTCGGAAGCTGCACAGGTGTCCATTTTTATTCACAGTAGCAGATCAAGTCTGAAAAACATGCTGTGCCTTTGTCGCTCCAGTGTCCCTGAAAGTTCCACTTAATACATTGAATAGAAATCTTATTTTGTCCTTCTTACAAGCAAATACTTGCATTTTGCTGCTGTTCTTTTTTTTTTTTTTTAGAGCTCTGTGTCACTGTAGCATGCAGTATGTAGTTAATTAAGGATGACATTAGTGTCTGGAAAAGCAGTGGGATGTCCCAAACAAACACCTGGTGTCAGACACCAATCAACAAGTCCCTGGCAGCAACGTCCCAAGGACAAACCGGTCATTCCAGCACCGTTCAGGCCAGCTGTCACAGAGAGAGCAGCAGCCCTGTGGGTAAATGCAGAGAGGAGGTTATAATGGGACACTGAATTGTGTCCTCTGCAGACAAACATGAGGATAAGCTGATCAAATGGCAACTCTGAAAAGAGAAATACCAGGCAATGTGGCTTTTAGTGTACTCGTAATTAGAGAGGCATCTATGTGTCATGTGTTTATTACATTTTAAAATAAGTACGGGAAACAGACATATGCAAAAGTCAGATGACAAATTTGAATTATTTGCTGCTCATCATTATGGACCTGCTGCATTTTCAGCTCTTCTTTTCTTCGTGTGCATGACAATTCTTCTCCCTGGGGGAAAGTACATACTGATTTTTATCTTCATTTCAAAATATAATATGTTCTGTCAACTATACCAAAGCTGGATATCCCATTGAAACATGACTATGATGCTAGCCTGTAAAAGCATATAACACAAAGCATCTTCAGGTGAGCTTTGTAGACTGTGTTTTCTAGTTTCTTTTCTTTTCTTTTTTCTTTACATAATTACTGCCAAATCATCCTGTATAGCATATCTGATGTCTAATGGGCAGCTCTTGTAGTCCTCCTTTACTGACTTTAATATTGAGGTTAGTATTCAGTGCAAGCAGCATTAGAGAAAATATGCTGCCTGACACTGAAACTTGAATTTGAAGAACTCGCACTCTGAAATGTAGATCATTAGATTAGCAGGCAGAGAGGAGCTTTAAATTCAAAAATATATGCACAATATCTTCCCTAAAACACCAAATCAGGTTTTAATACCAGCATGGCCCTTAAGCCTCACTGACTCTAAAGTTATACCTAATCCTTTAGTATTAACAGTAATTTTTCAGACATTATAAAAATGCTAGAATCTAGAGCGTTGGAAATGATGATGCATGATGTTATTCCTAATGAGGGATTCACTGTAACTCGTTTGTGTCTGTTTGCGTAGGTATTTGGCTACACAGGATGAAGGATTATGGCCATGCCACCTACTCAGACGTGTTTGTGTGCAGTCCTCCAAACAACCAACAGCATGTGGCCCAACAGGGGTTACACTATGCGTAGTTTGAATGTTGATTAGTTGAAAAGCGGGCCTGAACAGGAAACTGAGCTTTAGCACACTAGAATTTCACTCATCAAAACTGAAGCACAGACTTGTAGGATGGTCTGATTAGTGAGAGAATCTATTAAACCTACACAAACAGCTCACACATTCAGTGCAGGGATCCAGTTTAATTATGTCACCCAGTCAGCCCCAGCTGCCTGTGTGGGACAGCTGTCAATCAGTGCAGCCACATCCCAAATTCAACTATGGTGGATGAGTTAGAAAAAGAAAAAGAAGAAAAATCACCCCACCCAGCATTGTTAGGAGAGGAGAAACTGATTTGTTTGTTTGTTTTGTTTTTAATAACAGCTTCTAAATATTATTTTTAGTGCTGTAAAATTAGACAGACTCCCTTTTAGATCCATACTCCAGTGGCACTTAGGGGAAATGCAGTTTCTGCACATCAGTGTCTTCATTTTTCTGCTCTGGGGGTTGCCCCTCAGTGTAAATTCATGCACCGTGCTAACACAGCTAAACTTAAAAATAAGCCACACTGATGAACAACACTGAAATGTTAATTGACAAGGACATCTAAGAAGCATTTAGTAAAAAGATCACAACACATATGTGTAAATATGGCTACCTATGCACAAACATAGTTACACATACAGCAATTATTATCATCCATGTTTGTAAAAAGATTTATTATAAATTATTATAATTCTTTTGGTTTTTTGACTTGATCTTCTCCCGGTGAATGCGATGTTAAGCTCTTTTTTTCCCCGTTTGTTTCACATGCCATGTTTATTGTGAAATTTTGTTCGAGTCTTGACTAAATGCAGAATGACACATTTGAATAATTAATTTTGTAATTTTCTCACATCTCTGTTTGATTCAGGAACCACACAGTTGTGAACTCCAAGGTCATAGCTGTGACTGTGAGACCCGAGCCCAAGGCCACTGAGTCCCACCTGGAGATTGAACTGGCTCACTTGGCAAATGTAAGCACAGTAACTAAAATGTTCATACACAAATGCACAGTAAATACTATATATAGTTTGGATCTATAGTTTATTGACCTTCATGTTCCTTTGTTAACACTACACAAAGAGTTTTTGTTTGCTGGCTGAGTGTTCTACAAAGACCACAGCACGTATCATCTCCCATTAGCTGACACACAATGGCGGTTAATTGGCTCGATAATTAATTTGTGTCGGGAGAGAGCACTACGTTCAGATAATTACAAGGACAATCCCTTTTTATGATCCAGACCTTTTTATTCATCTTTGAGATAAAGTGCATGTAAGTCTGAACGTGTCAGCAAATTTGTGCATGCGTGTGTGTGTCTGTGGTAGTGGAGTTCAAAGCTTTTTTGTGTGATCTATGAAACACGTTTTCAAAAAAGCTAAATAAAAGGACAAACGTGCACTTGATTTATAATAATGATGATGGTGGTGATGAAAATGATGATGAGTTATCATCATAATTTACCAAACATTTTGTCCTTTTCCTGCCTTCCAGGGAACAATGAACCCTTACTGTGCGCTGTGGGACAGCACCATACTGTAAGTGGGCATGCACTTTCACTTCTTTTCACTTTTTTTGTTGTTATAGGTATTCATTGTTTTCTGTGTGTGTTTTTTTGGGATAATTTCCATGTTCAAAATCAGGGTGATACATTTTTCTGGGTAAACCATTACAACATTATTGGAACTGCAAAGAAACTGCATTAAACCTCATTCAGAGCGAACAACACGGTAGGCCAGTTGTAAGTCATATGAGTTTAATGCTTGGCTGTAAAACTCACACGTGTTGATTTAAACCTGTGTTCATACTGACTTTGAGTCAATGATGGCGAGGTCCTGAAGTTGCAGAGTTCTTGTTTAGTGAATGTCATCATGACTCCATCAAGTTTTCTATCAGAACCCAACACGAATCAAACAAATATGAGTTACTAATACTAATGAGTTAGAAAATAGCCCGTCTCACAGCAGTTGAGACATTTATATCTATACCAGTCCTTTACAAAATAGTTTGAGTGCATACAAAACTAAAAGGCAGCATGTATAGGCTTCAGCAGACTTCTTAAAGATATTCATTTTACAGTAAGTGCTGATAAAAGTCACTGCCTAAGGTGCCGTAGCATCAGTCAAAAATACTGCAGAATTATATAACGTATCAGGAGGGAAACTCCCACAAATTATGAGGACACAAAACACAACCGCTTTACCTAAACGAAACACAGCAGCTCATATAGAATGCTTAATTTTATGGTGTAGAAATGTGACACTCCATAAGAATACAACAAATATTACCGTAATTGTCGGGCTATAAGCCGCTACTTTTTGCACAAGCTTTGAACCCTGCGGCTTTTAGTCAGGTGCGGCTTTTCTATGGATTTTCCATGATTTTTGTGATATCGTAAGACGATTTGTTTTGTTTGTTCCGCTGTTGTACGGCACTACGTTGCCTGGCGGAAGGATCGAGGTTCAAGAGTGGTATGTTAGTCACATGTCCGTCCGCCAGGCAACGTAGTGCCGTACGAAGTAGCGCGAAAAACAAACTTCAAAGTAGCGCTACGCGTTCAGCGGGAGGCGTGGATGACGAGCGGCGATAAACTTGCGAAAAGCAAGTTATGCCCAACTCCACCGGTGGATTCTGACATCGTGGAAAAGTGCGAAAACATCCACGATCACCAACGGATTTTGAAGGGCTGGACTGCTGCATGATGGAGAGGAGGACACCGCCACGGCCCTTCTGAGGGTGTTCGACTCTGACACTGACAGCGAGGATTTCTTTGGTTTTGAAAGTGACAACGAAGGAGAGAAGCGGAGAGTGGATGACGAAGCCATCCTGAGCCTGTTCGTTTCCGACATTGGAGAAGAGGACTTTGGTGGTTTTAGAGTGCAGGAAGAAGAGAAAGATGGTGAATGACTGACTTTTCTTCTCCGTGTCACTTCACCTGAGCCTAAAAGGTAGTCCGAATCTATTTTTCTGGTGTGCTGTAGGTTACTGTTATGTACTACATGTGCAAATATGTACCCATAACTTGTTTTTCAAAATATTAATAAAAGGGTGTGTCTCCAAACAGCCGTCTCTTTCCTGACAATTCCCTTTGTGCATATTCTCTTACATATGATAAGTCAACATTGAAACACCTGCGGCTTTTAGTCAGGTGCGGCTAATGTATGTACAAAACAGGATTTTCCCTGATTTTAGCTTGTGCGGCTAATATTCAGGTGCGCTTTGTAGTCCGGGAAATACGTTACATTTATGTAAAGCCAATGACTTGAGTAACATTACATTTTGCACTTTTGCTTATCTGAATAAGTTGTTTGCTGCTTGATGCATAGTCCTCCAAACTGTGTCTGTGTTTGAGATTGTTGTGCCATTTGTGTTGATTTGATGTCACCTTCTCTGCAGCAAACAGAACAGTCCCGTGATTTCCCATGTTGGATCATTTCCACTCAAAAGTGGAATTTTTTTCGTACTTTACAATAAGACTTGTTCACGGTGTCAGTACGTGTTAATTAGCCTCAAAAAGACATCATGAATGATTGCCCCTGAGGTAGTGTAGAAGGCCAGGTAGACTGCCTCACGGCTGGAAAGAAAAGAAGCATCACATAACAGGTGGGGGGCCAGGGCAAAAGAGGTCAGATGGATGGCCTGAGGGCTGGAAATCTGCTGAGCTAGAGAGTTTAGAGGGTGGCTGCAAGGCTAGGGAGAAAAAAAAAGATGGTTGGAAGAGTTGTGATTGGTGGGCAGTAGTTTTGATCCAGGACAGGTAGACAACTGGGATGCAAATACTTCTGAAGTGGCAGCAAATTAAATATCAGTGAGTCTTACAGTGGCAGACACCAGTCTTAAGACCTGGAGCAATTGGGGTAGTGCCCAGTAGTCATGGCGCAGAGAAGACAGGCTATTGAATATTTGAGGGATGGACATTTCACTGGGTGTTGGCAGGGGCGGCTGATGGATGGTTGGGGTGGCCGATTGAACAGCTTAGGCGGCTACACAAGCAATTACCTGATGAAGAATTCCAGTGCTGGACATCAAAAAGAAAGAGAGAGAGAAAGAACTCTGGTGGCTGTTGGGGCAAATGGCAAGGCAGGATCCAAAGAAAGATTTGCTCCTGGGTGGTTCAATAAAACTTGATAAACCTAAAAATGAAACAGGGTTGGATACTGCAAACAGCAGGCAAGTCAACTCAAACTGCATGAGGGATTTACAGGCAACAATGTCTGCAATGGATATCATCGAGTGGGCGCAAGCCAGCATTTCACATAATGAAGAAAGAAAACATTTGGTGTACTACAATAAGGTTGTAGTTTTGTCTGCATTTGTCTGCATGTGTTATAGGAAAAACAAGACTTTTCCTCCTTCTGTCGCATTTCGGCTGCACAGCCATCGTTTGCGTCATCCACTTGGGCGATACATGTGTCTTTTAAGCTCAACAAAAATACCAGGATTATTATAGAAAACTACTCAAGCTTACCTGAAATCAGTGGAAGAGAAATCGTATTTTTTAGAACTTCAACATGGACAGCGGTATTGTTTTTTCTAAAATAAGAATACTAACACTATGGATGGATCATGTTTTGTAGAACTTTTGTTCAGTTTGTTGTTTATTTTTATTTTTTACCTGTAACAGGATGGAAATGTATTTACTAGAAATATGTTTGATTCCAGTTTCACTTAATTGTGTACAACCTAACAGCAATAGTGGATGAACAGATCTCTGGCAAAGGCATATAAAAGCTTGTTACTTTCACTGTGAAATAGCATCTGAATTGTGCGCGGTCTGTCCTCTATCACAGTATTTGAGGGCAGCTGGTCTATTTTTGAACAGCAATGATACAACTGGGACAACTCAGCTACATTCTCTCTGTCTGACTTTCACAAACCTAGTGTTAACTATCTGATTTTTTCCCCCCCATACTACATTAGGTAATTTTAATCATAGCACCACTGAATGACTCCATGGTATGATAATCATTTTTCAAACATTTGGCTCTTTCTATTATCCAATAGGATCCACTCTTAGGACTCATTGAGGGGATGATGTGCCATCTGTCAGCCATGTTGGTTCAAACAAAATGAGAGTGCTCATGTTGACAATTAGCAGAGAGAAAACATTTGCAAGTGGAGAGCTATGGTCCACGTGCAGGTTATGTGAACACTGAGCTGGACTTTAACATAAACTACACGATCAAAGTATTTTTAAACAAATGTGAACAAATCTTTCAGAATAGGCTTTATTTATATAAGACTTACAAATAATGAAATGTTGAAATTGACTATAACTAACTTCCAATGTAATATTAAAGTAGTGACCATAATATTAAACTGCTTGAAAACAGTGAGGGCTCAATTCACATCATTATTATGGAGGCCTATAGGTGAATCTGCTGCAGTTGGCTAGCTTTGAAAACGACAGAGAAATATAAACAAACACCACACACTGAGTTCTAAAATATCCAATATCTTTTTTAAATTTACTCTTCCGGTCTCCAGGTCCACAGCACTGAGTGTAAACATATCAGATGCATACACTTTTATTACTTTTTCAAATGTCAATATTTTTTTTTCTTTTTTTCTTTCAAATAACCTCGAAATTACCAATATCCCACCACTGTGCCAAGGGAACAATAAAAAGTGCAACCCAGTGACTTCAGATCAGTTAACATCCCTGTTGTGGTCAAAAATAAATATTTAGGGAGAATTAATCTGCCTGACAACTCACTTCACCTTATCCCTAGCTTTCATAAATAACATTTTAACTATATATATATTAATCCATCTTAGAATATCTTAGAAGTGATATGACACTGTGAGTCTACCATAAGGTTATTTTACAGTTCTGACTTGTCTTTTTCTAATGCTACGATATAAAAACAAACTAGTTGTAAAACTAGGCGGTTTTCTTCCTTACTGCCCCCAAACTTGTAGAAAAAATAAAAATGCAGAATGACGTTCCAAGCTAGTTCTGGCCTTTTGACGTTGCCTTGCAATTAACTGCTTTTAAAAATCCTCTGATGCTTGGGAAGCAGTGCATGGAAAGCCATATGAGTGTCTTTTTGACATTTTAATCGCAGATGCTTCAGGACCCTTTCTCGGATTATCAAACAGAGTCTCGTGGAAGCTAAACATCAAACGGCTGAGAACATTTGCAGATCCTTAAATAAGGATTCACAAGTCAGCATCTTGGCCCTTCATTAAGACATCTTTAAAACAGAGAATTTCACTGCCTTTTATTTCACCCTCAAGGTTATTTTCTTGTTTAATGTGTTTACTCTAAGCAAGACAATGAAGTACGAAATTATTGTTATTTAAATATTAAATAATGACTTTCTAGTCAAATATATTGATGGATAAAGTCTTTTTTCCTAGCATGCAAAGACACGTGTTTGACACAAGTTTCGAATAAAACAAAAATAAAGTATAGCAAGGACTCGAGCAGTAAAACGTGTTTTAAACAATTATGTGTAAAAACAAAACAAAACCGCCGATTACAACGGAAAGCGCTTTCAAGTCACGTCTTTAGCTTTTACTGAAAATTATGCAC